CATGATAGGCAGAGCCAGAACTGGGACTCAGGTCTGTTCTCCACGTCCAGCTGCTCAGGGATGAGTCCCAGCCACCCCACCAAAAAGTCTCCTAAGCTCTCTGCACCTCGGATTTATCTGTGAAATGGGACCTTTCTGGCTGGGTCCCTGGATAATCAGTGAGGTGAGGAATTTAAAGTGCTTTGTACAGCGTCAAGGCTAACAGACTTTAGTGTGAACAGACCTCGATGCCGACAAGTGGGTGTTTCTGACACAAATGGAATTTGCGAGAGAGAAGGAGAGGTAGTGGAGGAAGGGAGATGCTGGAAGGCCGTGTTTGTGGAAGGGAGTTCTAATGACCTTGTTCAGCGCACGACCCAGCCAGGGAGCCTGAGCCCAGAGGAGTCAGCCGCTGGACCAGTCAGGCCAGAGAGTGCTTCCTGTTGGAGGAGGGCCTGGGGCTGACCCCACCTTGGCTTCCGTGGTGACCCAGAGTCCTGCCTGGCCTGTGGTACCCTTTTGGTAAAGGACAGACAAGCTAATGAGGTTAGCACGTTACAGGAGTCAGACTGACCCCAAGCCGAAGACTCGCCAAGCTGGGTGCCCCTGGGCAGGACAGCCCATCACTGGCTGAGGACCAGCCCAGAGCAGAGGAGGTACCTGGGGTCAGCATCAAGGGACCTGGCTCTGGGCCTTGGGTGGGGGGTTCTCCTGGCCTGGGAAATGAGCAAAGATCCTGCCTCACAGAACGGCTTCGAGAGTTCACTGGTCTCATAAACGTCCGGGGCCCAGCGTATGGCAGCTGCCGGGCAGGACCCATGCAGCGGGGGAGCCCTGCATCCAGGGACAGGAGCCTGGGGCCTGAGGGCCACAGACCGCAGCACCGTGCCCCTGGAAGCCACAGTGGGATCTGGAGCCCCTGTTCCTGGCTCAGGGGTAGGCAGTCACTTGGGGACAGGCAAGTTTTCAAGAGCAAGAAAAACACAGGGAACTGTTCTAGGAACTAATTAGACCTGGGAGGCGGCTCCTGGGGCTTCAAAGCCTGCCCCTGGTGGGTGAGTGGGGCCTGCGGGTGGGGGCTGGGGCCGTGGAGGGGCCCCTGAGATGGTGCAGTTGTCCCCACAGAGCATTCGTGCACCCCCTTGCTCATTCACTCATTCTCTCACTGCTCCCTGCTCAGTGCTGTGGATTGGGGGCACCCAGGCCATGAGAACAGTCCGAGGGGCACGCCTTGGGAGGGGTTACGAGGGGCTGTGGGACCCAGAGGGGTGGTTGTGGTCACTGAGCCTGCTTGAAGGATAAGAGAAGGGCAGTTCCCGACAGAGGGAACCAGAGCTGGGGGTACAGGGGGACAGTGGCGGTAGGCGAGCCTGCAGATACAGATGGAACCCGGACACCCAGCTCCTTGAATGCACTGATAAGATGTCATCTAGTCTGCAGCCTGTGTTTAGCATTATGGACAGATGGGCACAGCCGGGGCTTTGTGGTCATCTGCTGATGGCCCTTCCATCCCAGCTCATAGCTAACCACTGGGTGACAGGTCAGGGCTTCTTCTGATGGACTAAGGGCAATGACCTCAGAGTTAGTGGAACAGAACTGGGTCTCAGTCCCGGCTGCCCATTATGTGCTGGCGGGGTAGTGCCTACAGATGGGCAGGCTATGCAAGGGAAGCCAGGCACACTGTGATCTTTGTTAATAATGGACTTGTGCAGTCCCCAGCCTGCACAGCAGCAGTACAAGGTGGCCCTGAGGGGTGTCTGAGCTAGTCAGTTTCCCACTCCGGGCTTCGGTCTCCCCATCTGTTTCATGGCATTACGACTATCCAGAGCTGGCACATGGTGAGTCCTCTTTCAGGGTTTGCCACTGTCCCTGAGCTCTGCCACGCAAGAATGTTGGGGCGGAGCCCGGCGGCCCAGCTCCTCTCCCCTCCGCCCCTGGTCCCAGGCGCTCGCTCGCATCCTGGTTGTGCCCCTTCTCCTCCCCGGAGACGCCACAAGACACCTGGCCCTGATTGCTTTGCTCTGTGTCAAATTCCTCCCAACTAGAACTTCCAAGTCCTGGGGATTACAGTTTATTTTTGAAAACAAAAGAAAACAAAATGCTAACAGCTGAATCTGGTCGGGACTGACTGTTGACTTCAGAACTTTGGCTGGAGGACGGGGTGGGGGTGGGGGTTGTCAAAACCCCAAATAAACAGAGTCTGCTTTCCAGCCGTGGGGCCCAAGGTTTTCATGTGGGAAGAAGCGGTGGGAACCGAGTCCTCCCTTCCCACTGATTCATGGGGTGATTCATCTGTGTGTGGGGAGGAGGACCAGGAAGCTGGCCCTGCCCCGCCCCAGCACCCCCTCCCCACCACCCACCACGGTCGGTCTGCTTAAAGGTACAGGGCCTGGCAGGGCCCAGGTCGCCAGCTGGCTGACCCTGGAGCCCCACGGGGGTGCCCCAGGCCCTGGGTCAGGGAGGCCTCAGGCTCTGAAGTCCTTGGGACCTGGATCGAGGCATCCCTAGGCTTCCCTCTGCCCCATCCCCTGCCACCCTGTGCTGTGCCTGGCTCGTCACTCGCCTGTACTTGGTGCAGAGGGCACACAGAGACACTCAGCATGCGTGGATTGAATGTGCCCCATGTGAGAGGGAGTGCCAAGGGCGGGGCATTATTCTGGGAACCCCCAGGAGGGAGAGACTCATTCTGCTGGAAGAAGCCTGCCAGGGGCCTGCCTGGAGGAGGTGGGATTTGAGTTGTGCCCAGGACAAGCTGGAGCATCTTGCTAGGGAGCAGTGGGGAATGGTCTGTGTAGGTGAGGCACAGAACGGCGGGTGATGGAGCAGAGCCTTGGGGTAAATGGCCCAACAGGTTTCACGGGGGGGGGGGTGACACCTGACGTGGCCCTCGGGGACTGCCCACCCCAGCACGGCACGGCGGGCACGCACCTCGGCTGGGGTGAACCCAGCACACAAGGGAGACCTGCAGACCCTGCCAAGCCCCGACCCGTGGAAGGGAGAAGGGCCTGGGGTGGAGGTCCTCTGAGGTCCCAGGGCCACGGGAATTACCTGGTGAGGAGTGTCCCGTCAGAGACCAGAACCCGACAGGACAGCGATTTCTGTGACTGGTTTCCTTCCTCTGCCTGGAGGCAAGAGCATGGTTTGGGTTCCCAGGGGCCTCAGGGTGGGGGAGACCGAGCTGGCCTTAGCCCCCACAGCTGACTAGTGAAACTAGAGTTTCAGCGACGATTCGCAATCCTGCGTGGAAATAAATGTGTGGAACCAGAGTGGGACCAGCCCCTGGGACCCTTGTTATTGTGAGCTCTGAACCCTAAACCCCACCCCTCCGAGGGTTTTGCCACCCGGGGGAGGGCTCCCAGGCAGGTAGCCCCTGGCCGCCTGCAGTTGGATGGGCGAGGGGCCTCAGCTGTGGCCGGCTACAGGCCACGTCTCCCACCTGGCCTCCGGCCACCCCCGGACAGGCCGCCTTTGATTCAGGCTGACCACAATGGCCTGGGCCCCCGTGTCCCACGCCCGCTGCCTGGCTGAGAGGCAGACATCACAGAATTGGTGGGTGGGGCTTCCTCTCCACCCCTGACCTTGGAGCCTGAGGCAAGCCCTCTCCGGACCCGGAGTCCCAGTCCAGGCATAATGGACAGTCGGGGCATGAGGGAGCCACTGGGGATGGGCGAGGGGCCCCTAAGGAAGAGAGTCCCCAGCCTGAGCTCAGAACGTGCCTTCTCCAACTCGATATGCATCCTCAGGCAGGAGGATTTATCACTCAGCCCCACAGTCACCCCACCTTTGAGAGGGAGGCAGTGACCCCCACCCTGGCTGCCCCCTGGACGTGGGGAGAGTAGTCGGGATGTGGTTGGGGGCTGCATGTGCCCACAAATGTTTATGGGGCACGCAGGGTGGCCGCACTCACCATGACACCTCCTGTCCCTCTGGACAAAACAGAAAGCCAGATTCTCACTCAATCCGCATACCTCCCAGAACAACCTCAGCTGCAAAACTAGCCTTCACAGGCTGAGCCCTGTTTGCTCACTGACCCAGGTGCCAGGGGGCATGGTGGGCTCCCCTGGGCAGGGAGCTTCACACCTGCAAGTCACATTCCTACCCAGTTCCCACAGGGCAGGAGGGGTCATCTTCAGTCTCAGTTTCAGACTAGGAGTCAAGGCCCAGAGAAGGCAAGTGATTTGCCTAAGCCACACAGCTGGAGGTGGGGTGCCCAGCCAAGCCCGGCATGCTCCCAGCTCCAGGCATAAGCTCATTCGGGGACCGCGGGTTCCAGGTAGCGCCAGTCTCCGGGGGGAACCTGAGGGGCCTCAGCACATGCCCAAGCAAGGGAGACCAAAGGGGTGTGGGCCCCGTGCCACCCACATCCCTCAGGCCTGTGGTCCTGGCAGGCGGCAGCCCCTGCTGCTGAGAACAGCAGAAATCTGAGCCGGCAAAGGTTCCAGGGGGGTTCGTGAACGGCCCAGCAAGTTGGACTGGGGCATGGCCAAGTTGGATAGGGGGCTCTGGCGACTCAGACATCGGAGTCCCGCAGGGCCCAGGAGGGGGTCACACCATGGCCAGACCGGGGCAGCTCAGAAGGGTGAGTCAGGGGCCCCTGCTGGACCCTTGCCCAATCACTGCTCTGGCCCCAGGGCTGGAGCAACAGGCCAGAGCCACAGGGGAGGGGACGGTTGCCTCAAGCCGGGGCACTGCTGTCTATCAGAGAAAGGGTCAGGGCCCCTGGGGGCTGGCCCAGATCTAGCTCCAATGTCATGTCACTGCTCACAGCCGAGGGCAAGTGTCCTCACTGCTCTGAGCCTCCTGGCACGCTTGGTGGTGTCCAGTGAGGTAATGTGAGGAAGCTCAGCATTAGCCATTCTTGGGGCAAAGAAACCCCCTCCCAAACGTCTGGGTGTCACTGTGCTGCTGAGTGTGGGGCATTGCTGAGGGGCTCTGAACCCGGTGGGGTCCCTGGGGGAGCTTCCTCCTGGGTGGGGGTTCAGGCACCTCACTAATGCGCCTGGTTCTTCCTGCCAGTGCAGGTCTCCACCAGCTGACCAGCCCGCGGTACAAGTTCAACTTCATCGCGGACGTGGTGGAGAAGATCGCGCCGGCCGTGGTCCACATAGAGCTCTTCCTGAGGTGCGTGAGCCCTTCCCAGGCGTCCCCCATTCTAGCACCAGGGGCAGGTGAAGCCAGGTGCACGTGGGGTCAGGTGGGTCTCCCTGACACCTCCGTTGCGTGTACCCTTGGGGAGGGACGCCCACTCTCTGCCCCTGGTGTCCTCGCTGAGGGGAATGGATATGCACCTGCACCCTCCGGGCTGTAGGTTTGCTAAGCGGGTGTGTCCCAGGGCAGGGGGCGCCCTGGTGTCACAGAGGCTGCCTAAGCTGGTTCTGGGAAACACTGCTGCCCCGAAGGCTGCTTGCCCGTGGAATCCTGGGGTCTCCTCCCAGAGAGACCTCTACTTCCCAAAAAGAAGACATTGGCAGCAGGTCGTCTCAAGTTAAAAGTGTTTCTTCCTTCTGTCTGACTTCACCTCTTGGCCCTTGTGTGTGGAGGGGGCCACCAGTCCGCCCAGATGAGGCTCATAGGGTCCAAACCCTTCCACTCTGATGGGGGACAGAGGGAGCCAGGCCTCTGTGCACCGGAGTGGACAGTCATCCCGAGGCCTCGGGCCAGGGCACTGGGGCCTTGTGCGTTTGCCTGGCACTTTCCCCGGGGGCTTGGAGGCAGGCCGGTGCCGTGATGCCGACACTGAGGCCCATGGGGGGTCCCTGGGGGGTGGGCAGAATCATTCACTCTTGTTCTCCAGCCCCAGTATGGGGCTCCCAGCTCACTGGGCATGGTGCTTGCCCAGTGGGAGCCCTTGTCACGGGGTGTCACTGCCCCACATCTCTGGAGGGCAGGGACTGTCTTCACCCCTGATGGTGCTTCACGGGGTGAGCAACCAATAGCACGAGCCCCCCATCAGAACAGCAATGCCCTTGGACCAACTGTGTGCTCCGAGCCCTGGTGGCCGCTTTGCCAACATGTGTCTCAATAGCCCTGGTGAGTGCCCACCTCTTAGAGGAGGGAGCTGGGCACAGGCAGGACTCACCCTGAGTCAGGACCGGGGGCCCACCCCTCCGTGCTGACTGACACTCTGCACCCCGAGGCCCTTTCTGCTCTCACGCACGGCTGAACCCCAGATGCTAGGATTTGATGTTCCCATTCCCTGGGTGTGGAGTGAGGCAGGGGACCTTCTCCAGGCCCACAGAGCTGCCGAGTGCCGAGTTGGGCTTTGACCCCAGGTCTCTCAGGCCCCAGAGCTGACCCCTTACCTGGCCTTTCTGCGGGCTCCAGATCCGGAGACATGTCATTGAGGAAATTACAACTGGACACGCTAAGTGGCACATCCCTGGCCTTGCCAGTGGCTCAGATGGGGCCAGTGTCTTTCTAGAAGGCTCCGGGCAGCAGCCTCTGAGCCAGCTAATTGCTGACTGCAGCCCAGCCTGGGCAGGTGGCATTGCCTTTGCCACTTCAGCCTTGGAGGCCCATGTCCCAGTGGGCGGGTGGGCAAGACCAAGCAGGCCAGATCCCAGACACAGATGAGATGCTCATCGAGCCTGGGAGCCTCGGCTGTAAGCCTGACCTGGGGGAGGAGGCTGCCGGCAGCCTTGGGCCCCTCCTGCAGCCAGCTCCTACCGTGGGTCCAGGAGGCGGTCAGGTGCAGCCCCCACCCCGGGCCACACTCAGAGCTGGGCGGCGGTGGAAGGTGACCGTGAGAGTGGACAGAGGCTAGGGTCCCCCCGGGGCCGAGTGGCCAGGCTGCCTGACCCAGACGAGTCCCTCGTGTCCTGGGCCACAGCGTCTGTGCCTGTAAACTCGAGGCCTGCTACCATGTAGGGTGATTGTGGGCATTAAATCACTTTGTGTCTGGCTTGGAGGGCTCGGTGACGTGAGCCCCTGACACTGGTCCTGCCCGCGAGGCAGCCTTCTGCACTCCCTCACGTCCCTGAGACGTTGCCCCTCGTGTTCTTTCCCTCCTGCATGGTCCCAGACCCCTGGGGTGCCCTTTCTCCCTCACCTCTGCTAAGCGGCCTCAGACACTGAGTACCTGCTCCGTCCAGGCCCCTCTGGGGTGGCAGAGAGGGTCCTGAGCTGCATCCGGACTCCCTCCTCCCTGGCATCCTGGCCACGGGCCGGGGTTCCTCTCGGCTCTGGTGAGGCTTGGGCATTGTCACGCATCCGTGAATTCTGATCTCCGACCATTGGACCCCGTGTACGGAGGCAGAAGCCGTATGTGTGTCTGAGTGCACACCCCGCCCGGCTCCGTCCAGTGTCCCCTGCCCCGAGTCTCTGGGAGGACGGCGCCTGGTGCAGAATTCACGGAGCAGAGCCTGCCATCGAGCTGGGGGAGCACACCACCCCCCAGTGCTACCCTCTCCATGCATAGGCAGATATGCCACCCCCCCCCCGGGAAGCTATCCCCCTGGGACCTGCCGTGGGACAACCCCAGCAGAGGCTACATGCCCATTAGTGCCAATAGCAGCCCTATTTGCTGAGTGACTTCCTGCCTCCAGGCATCACACTCAGCAGGGTACGTACCCCATTTCCTAGCTGGGGAGATTGAGGCCTGCCCACGGCCAGGCAGATAATAAGTGGGACGGGCTGAGATTAGAGTCCCGGCCTGTCTGGCTCCAGTGCTGAGTTGTCAAGGCTGTGAACGCCTGCCTGTCCGAACAGGCCCGATGCACACGGGCCTCCCGTCTCTTCCCAGAAAGTTGCAAGTCACAGATGGTTGTCCCCTCTGTCTGGCTGTGAAATGGGCCCAGGCATCAGTGACCTGGGCCAAGGCCACAGCTGGAGGAAGCAGAGCTGGGGTCGGCCCCGGGCCCGGGGATTCCAAACCCATCATCTTTCACCCCACGTTGGGCTCTGCTTCTCACCAGCTGGTGCATGGCTGCGGCCGGCCCCACATTCA